AAGTGATAACATCAGGAAGTGGCTAGTACGTAACAGACTTTACGACAACTACTGCAGAATCCAAGACTGTGTAGTTTGTCCATCCGGTAAAGTTGGTGACTGCGGTAAGACCGGTGTGATATATGAGATAAAATGTATTGAGTGCAACGCCACTTATATCGGAGAGACTGGGAGACCGTTATGGGTAAGAATGAAAGAACATCTTGCCAGCAAGAGACGGGGAAGTCTTACCACACCGCTCGGTAAACACAGAGTTGAATTCCACTGTGGTAAGGACTTCGAAATCAGATGTACTATACTGGCACACGAGTATGACACTGCTAGTAGAAAAGCTCTCGAGGCATTCTGGATTTTCGCAAGAAATCCATGCATGAACAGCCGAAATGAGTGTGCGTCAATCACGAATGACTTTATGCCTTTCTTGGAATTATGTGAGTTGAAGAATGCCGCTAGTGATAGTGTCAACACGGTATGACCATATTTCACTATTAGTACTAGTGGCACTCGAGGACGGCCGCATTCAACATCTACGCGGCAGCGGCGGAGGAGGTTGGTTCGTCTTTCACGTTTCTGCGTATTTTCGTTTGTAGCATTCGGGGGTGAAGTCGAGGCTAGCCAGGATGGAAGAGGTTTCTGGTGGGGTAAGGCATAAAATCATTGATCTCTTACCACTTTAGGCCTTTGAAGAAGACGATCCAGTCGAAACGTCAGGCCGCCACTAACTAATAAAGTACTAACCTCGCTCGGCTTACTAACCTACTAACCTACTAACACATCGAAATATGCCGAGGTTAACGAAAGAGGAAACTTGGAACTTACTAACTGACATACCGCCACGAATGTTTCCTCTCGTCAAAGAAGCGCTCTCGCTTCGTCAAAAAGTGGTATCCCTCCGCCAGTCGATCAAATATCTACAACGATGCAGGACGTCCGACACGGTGCCAAAGTTCATTTCAAACAAGAAGTTAGGAGCATTATGCAGCCTCGAAGAGAATGACTCGAAGATAAAGAAGATCTATCGTGCGATTCTGGCAGTCATTATCAAAGAAAAACAGCATGTGTTATACTCATCCTTGTTGAAATGTACTCGTAAAGAAGATGCGTGCCGACGTCTCGTACCTGATCGGATTTGGAGGAGGATTGAGAACGGCTCGAGATCGATTTGTGCTTCTATTCGATCTGAAGCTAAATCCAGACTCTGCGCCAAGTACGACAAGCTTCGGAAGGCTGCTCGCGAAAATCCAGGTAACGTTGAAAGCAGCTTACCTCCAATCCACCGCCTTGTCGAGTCTTCAACTCAAAATGAAAGTTCTTCCGCCCAATTGGCTAAAGTCACGGTGGTTGGAGACACTCATTTATCTGATAATGCACTTGGGTTTCTCAGTCTAGGCCCTTCTTTCTCTATCGTTCAAAAAGTTGACGGGTCTGTTTTTCGGAAAGTTGTCGGTGGTTTACACAGACTCCGAGACCAACTGCGAATAAGGACTAGACTAAACAATGACCAAATACAGAATGCTCCAAATTTACAGTCAAGACGAACAATTCCGCCCATACCTTTTCCAAGTTTGTTTTACAAAGAACCTCAGCCATCGGCTGAAGCTGATGTCAAGTTTAAGATTATCTCTGCTGGTGTGCTAAATGCTTACCGTCATCAAGCTAAGCACCCGCAACCGATCAACTTGACTCATTCGCAATTGCTTGGCTATAAGGAAATACGTGAATTAGTCTCTAGTAAAGCTGTACGTATCTCGGTAAGCGACAAGGGAGGAGAATTTGTGATTCTTCCACGAATCTTGGACCGGCAAATCACACAACTCCACCTTAGCGATACGACCATCTATCGCCGCGTAACCGAAAAAGAGTTTCAAGCACAATACAAGCGACTAAATCACGTTTGGGTGGATGTAGGAAGAGCATCTGACCTCCCCGAGAGCTTTCTCAGCAGATTGAAATTAGAAACACCAGAGTGCCCAGTCTTTTACAGTCTTGTTAAAACCCATAAACTAGCCGCTACTGATGACGTGCGCAATTTGAACGCGGGACAGTTAAAAATAAGACCTATTATAAGTTGCGTAGGAGGACCAACCGATCGAATATCCTGGTTCTTGAACAAGATTGTCAATCAGTTACTGGACAAAGTTCCGTCTCACTTAGCCAACACGAATCATTTCTTGGAACGCCTTCACAACACTACTTTGCAAGCGCAGTGTGTAGCAGAGTCGTTTGACGTCGTGTCATTGTACACGAATGTTCAGAATGACGATGCTTTACAGGCAGTTTCGGAAATGTTGGACTCCTTTGGTGAGAAGATCCAGACTTTTGGGCTGAGTAAACGATCGATTATGCTCCTGATCAAAGAATGCCTTTCTTGTAAAATCTTCAAGTGGTCAGGAACATACTATACTCAGCTGAGAGGTCTTGCAATGGGACAAAGACTTGCTCCAGTGCTCGCGATCTGCTTTATGAGTAGAATAGAAGAGCCAGTGCTGTCGCGTTTACCTCTAATGTACTGTCGTTATATAGACGACTGTTGCGTTATAACATCAACACAATCCGAAATGGATGAGTGTTTCCGATTACTCAACCAACAGTCACAGTACATAAGGTTTACACGGCAGCAACCGAAAAATGGTTGGCTTCCTTATCTCAACGTACAAATCAAACTGTCCAACGGCGCTGCGAATGTGAAATGGTATCGCAAAGAGAGTTCCAAGAATATCTTGGTTAATGCTCGCTCTGCACATCCGACCACTGTTAAAAGAGCTGTTATCCGTAACATGCTCAAAACAGCAACGAACGTATGCACAGGAGAAGAAGAACGGAAGGAGTCGCAGAGATGGGCGCTGGATATTGCTCGAATGAATGGCTACACGTTTCGAAATGGACGTGGTAGACCATCTATTTCCATCAATAGCAACCAGCACCAACAGAAAATACCTCTCTGTCTTCCTTTCGTTTCTGACGCGACTAGTGCAATAGTGCGACGATGCATTAAACACGCGAACCTCGAAAACGATGTCATTTTGATTGACATTCCAAGTGAAAACATCAGGAAGCGGCTAGTACGTAACAGACTTTACGACAACTACTGCAGAATCCAAGACTGTGTAGTTTGTCCATCCGGTAAAGTTGGTGACTGCGGTAAGACCGGTGTGATATATGAGATAAAATGTATTGAGGCAACGCCACTTATATCGGAGAGACTGGGAGACCGTTATGGGTAAGAATGAAAGAACATCTTGCCAGCAAGAGACGGGGAAGTCTTACCACACCGCTCGGTAAACACAGAGTTGAATTCCACTGTGGTAAGGACTTCGAAATCAGATGTACTATACTGGCACACGAGTATGACACTGCTAGTAGAAAAGCTCTCGAGGCATTCTGGATTTTCGCAAGAAATCCATGCATGAACAGCCGAAATGAGTGTGCGCCAATCACGAATGACTTTATGCCTTTCTTGGAATTATGTGAGTTGAAGAATGCCGCTAGTGATAGTGTCAACACGGTATGACCATATTTCACTATTAGTACTAGTGGCACTCGAGGACGGCCGCATTCAACATCTACGCGGCAGCGGCGGAGGAGGTTGGTTCGTCTTTCACGTTTCTGCGTATTTTCGTTTGTAGCATTCGGGGGTGAAGTCGAGGCTAGCCAGGATGGAAGAGGTTTCTGGTGGGGTAAGGCATAAAATCATTGATCTCTTACCACTTTAGGCCTTTGAAGAAGACGATCCAGTCGAAACGTCAGGCCGCCACTAACTAATAAAGTACTAACCTCG